TCTACCCTGGGGCAAAACTCAAGGTGGCGGTTGACTAGGCTGAGATCCCAAACAAGCCGAGGGCTCGAGTATGGCGCACCGAAAAAGTTCTGAGGATGTGCAACGGGACGCTTCGCACTGCGGTCTGGAGAGTCGCCAAGGTAGAGGAGGCGGTAGGACTATAGGCACCGGATAATAATATACGGATTAGAACACGTGACGGTCCAGGTATACAAGTCCGATTAGTAAGACTAGGAGTAAAACTGGAGCCAGACTTGGTGGAGACGACCGAAGGCACCCGGGAGGAACGTCAGATGAGGAGGAGGGCAAGGGTAGGGTCTAGGGTCCCTTCTCAGGGTCCTGGAAGGGTACACCTCAGAGGAGAGCGACTTGGCAAGGGCACTTAGAGGCGTCGGGATGAAGGAGGACTCTCTACAGAGCTCCGAGACGGAGGCAGAGGTTACTGTGGTGGAGAATGTCAAGAGTGTTTCTGACAATCTTGCAGATACACCTCCACCACAGTAAGGCGGCGTCAGCTGCCCTCCTACTCCATCTCGCCGAAAGTGGAGCTGATGTGGCCCTCATCCAGAACCCCAGAATCCTTGGCGACAGGATTTTTTTGTTGGGGGCGTCAGAGTATAGGCTCTGTAAAGCCAATACAACAGGTAAAAGGCGAGCCTCATTCTCGCAAAGAAGAACCTTAACCTTATTTTGCTACCTAATTTCAGCAATGAAGATTATGTAGCCGCAGCAATAGAATGCCCAATGCGACCTCTAAGGGTAAGCTCGGCGTATATGGACCACGACCAGGGTGCCCTCCCCCCGCACCCGCTACTCAAACAGCTGGTGAAAGACAGCAGAAAATCGACCGGATTAGAGGGTGCGATGCCAACGCCCATCATCATCAGTGGTGAAACACTGACGCTAACGAGAGGGGTGAGTCAATATTAGATTTTATCCTAAGGTCAAATCTTCTGGTGGGTGACAGGGGCACAGAACCCACCTCCATCGACAAGAAAAGATGGGAGGTACTTGACAATACTTTGACTTGACTGAAGCAGACAGGATTGTTAGATGGGGAGTCCTAAAGAAGCAATCCTTCTCGGTCCATAGATGCATAAAATTATTGGTTAATTTCAAGAACTTCACTCGGCTAGCAGTACGCCATCCTAGGAAGACAAACTGGGAGCTCTACAAGAAAAAACTTCACAGATTCTTGGAGGAACCTCCAACAAGGGACGTTAAAAGCAGGGAAAACCTGGACGCCTTGTTGTGCACGCTAATGGCGGCTTGCACCAGGGCATTCAAAAGGGCCGGCCCAAGAGCAAACACTCCGCCCATTAAGACCAAGACCCGTAAAGCTTTTAACTTCACTAATAAAGCAAACAAATATGTAGCAAAGAGCCAGGAAAGAGTCCAGCCTGGAAACCCTAGAGGCTCTCACAAATGCACATTTCTCAGGGTGTTCTCAGGAGAAAACAACCCAAGGAAGCCAGGAGGGGAGTTTCCCCTTTCCGAGCCAGATCGAACACCTCCTAAGTAATAGGAATCTCAGTTGGGCGATAAACAGTTTCGAGCCCTTCACATCTCCATGACCAGATGGCATCTTCCCGGCACAACTAACCAAAGCCGGATCCAATCTGTGGTTATGGATTAGGAGAATCTTCACAGCAATCTTTAGAAGAGGGATCGTGTCCGAGACGTAGTTGCGACGAAGGTTGTCTTCATGGAGAGACTTATCAGCCTTCACATTCAAACTTCTGGGTGCAGCAACACTCACGGACCTAACAGACCTTACGGGGATAGCTCCACGTGGACTCGTTGCCTTCATCCAGAAAGCTGGATGGCACCGCGAGTAGCCTAAGGAAGGGTAGAATTGCTTGGGCACTCTAGTATATATGATGGGGTGGGGTCCCCTTGCCGGATTTCTTGCCGGTGCGGGAACACAAGGAGCCCCAGCGGTCCAAGTGGATTAGGCCGCCTCAGCGTAATCTAAGTATAGTTCGACTCTGCTTCTTCATCTTTTTTGTGTTGCGACTCTTTTGCCTACTCCCAAGCTTTGTCTCTGTGATACATGGTTTAAGGTACAATGGTTTGTTTCATATTTTTGATATCATAATGGAAAAAAACTGGGCGACTTAATAAAGTCTTGTAATAAGACAATCTCGTGATCCCAGCCTACCATTGCTGGCTTTGTGAAACCGTAGTCCACGCCAAGTGTGCCGGGTTGACTGGCTCATTTTCGGATGCCATTTCCAGTAAGTTTGGTCTCCATTATTGTTGCGATAATTGTCGTGCTGTCTTAGCGGCCTTCTACGTAAGAGAGCGTAAAAAATCTGCTGTTAGTGATCCGCTTGGCCTGCTCATCCGACATCCGACAAGGGCTAAAACTGATAATTATTATCCGTTCGAATTGCTCAGTACAAATAGTATACAAGGTTTGTGTCAAAAGTTTCCAAACTTTTCAAAAAGAAAAAAAACTACAAAATAGTTTGGAATGAAACTTTGCATTTATTCAAAATAGTCTCCCTCCGACTACAACGATTTGCACGATTTAAAAGTGATTCGAATGAGTGTTTTAGCTCGTCAACCGGGATGGCCATGAGTATGTCGGTCGTCGCCTTTTCAACGGACTTTATGTCATCAAAATATCTTCCTTTCATTACCAATTTTAATTTTCCGAATAGGAAAAAGTCACACGGAGCTAAATCAGGTGAATATGGTGAGTGGTTGACGGTAAGAATGTGATTTTTTGTTAAAAAATCGGTCACAAGTCATTGTCAAATCGGTCACCTTTTCGTGCTCTTTGAGTGTGTGTGGAACAAACCGTGCACAAACCTTCCGCATACCCAAATGCTCAATCAAAATGCGATGAATAGACTTATAGGATATCTCCAACTCCATTTCCATGTATCTCAACGAAGATTTTGGTTCTTTTTTGACAAAATCACGAATAATTTGAATGTTTTCATCAATAAGAGCACTTTTCGGACTGCCCGAACGTTCGTCGTCTTCCAGGCTTTCACGACCATTTTTAAAACGATTAAACCACTACGGGGTACGGGATAGACAATCATCACCATAAACTTGTTTCATCAATTTATGAGTCTCGGTGAAAGTTTTACCGAGTTTAAAACAAAACTTAATAACCGCTCTTTGCTCCATGATTTTTGTCGACCAACTAACACAAGGTACTGTCACTGGTACTGTCAATAATTCCAATTCCACTGTTCCAAATGTCTTGAAATTTGGAGGGAAAATCGGTGAATAATGTATTTTTCAAACGCATATACTCACACAAAGATGGCGGCACCAGAAAATGCCCTGCCAGAGAAGCTCGGAAACTTTTGACACACACCTTGTATGTCCTACGTGATTCCTTCTTTATGTTATATACATGACTACAATATACTTTTGTACTCTAAGAGTAGCTGGTATAAAATCGACACCCAGCATTGTTCACCCATATTATTAGGAGTCTGCATCGATGCAGAGAAAGATGAAGATTTGCATCTCAGCTAAGACCTCTAAGAGAAAATGTTAGGAAATTTGTTTGTACGGATTCTATGTGGTCTTGATGTACTCCAAATTGGGGACTCGGCATAGGAAATTTCTCTACCTCAGCGCCGCTGCACATCGTGCAAAAAACCTTTGAAGCAAGAAAGCAGGTAAGCAGAATAAAATGTCTAAAAACTTTTTTTTTTTTTTTTTTTTTTTTTTATGGAAAATCTTTTCATGACAAAATATTTCCATAGTTAATTTCTATCGAACGGCGAAGCCGAAGTTTATATACCCCTTCCCTTTAAATCGGATATGTATCGCATATATTGCATATTAGTTGGCTGATCCTTATGAGAATAAAACCAATTTATTAATATACAAAATCTAAAAAAAAAAAACTCCCAAGCTTCTATCTTCAAACATACCAAAGTTGGTACCAAACATACCATACCAAATAAATACCATTTCCGACCGTACAGTTATATGAAAGCTATAGGATATAGTTGACCGATCCTTATGACATTTGGTAGGTTGGATCAATTGACCAAAACTAGAATTGGAAAATTGGAAATTTTCAACTTTTTATCTTCAAAAACACGAAATTTGGGTCATTTCCGATCGTTCAAACAAATGGCAGCTATAAGATATAGCGGCCGATCATTATGAAATTTGGTATGTATTTTTTGTCAAAACTAGAACCATTTGACTACCTAGTTCTAAAAACACGCTAGTTTTAGCATTTCCGATCAATTAGTTATATGACAGCTATGGGATATAGTAGGCCGATCCCGGGCGTTCAGAATATAATTCTGCGTGCAACGGAACGAAGGGTGTGCAAATTTTTAAGTCGATAGCTCTAAAACTAAGAGACTACCTCGCGTAGAAACATACAGACAGGCGGACATGCTTATATCAACTCAGGACGTGGTCCTGATCCGGTATATATATACTTTATGGGAGATATCTCCATCACTATCTGCGAGGGAATAAAAACAAATTTCAGTCAAATCGGCAGATTTTTAGAGGTTATACAGACATATATTTTTCCATTTCACCTACAATCTCGAAGACTATAAATGATAGAATTATTTCAGAACAGAACTAACCGATTTGGAACTAGGAGTCGTACGGTAACCGGGTAGATCAAGTTTGAGCCAAAATTTTTCTATCACCTATTTCGCCCTTAAAACGCAAATCTCGTTTTAGCGCCAGTTCAAACATGTTTTTAAAACAATCACAATCGTTATCGGAGGTACAGACTTTTTATCTACTTCCCTGCTGCGTTGATTCAATATTTCTTTTCCCCGAGAAACTCTTAAATGTTAGATAAAATGTGGATAGATAGACTCGACTATAGACGTTCTTTTTTGATTTATTTTATTTTTTGTTTCCTTTTTTAAAAGTTACTTTTTTTTTCTAAATTATAGAAATAATTATTAAGATTATTATTATTTTAAACACTCTTACGAGATATTATATAAATTGTAATGCAGAATTATTTTTATCTGCATTTTTCATACCTTTCATAATTCCTAGGTTTTGAATGACCATGTGACCCTTTCGTATAACTTGGTTGCCAAGCTGACGAGTTCCAGTTTTATTTGCATTTTCAGATTTATTTTGGGCGCTAAAAAGAGTAATTTTTTATAAGCATACAAAGTAAAGTTTAAGTATTTATATTCGAAAGGTTTAATTAAGAGGGGACGGTAAACTGAATGGGGGCAATTACCACCTTGTAATACTTTTATTAAATTCTGATGGTGAAACTTTAATTTTTTAAGCTCCTTTTCATAATAATGAAAAATATTAAAAATTTTGCAAATTACAGGCAGGAGCTGAACTCTCCGCAGGATCACAGGATAAAAAAAAAACAAAAACAAAATTTAAGGATGTAGTCTCATGTTCCGGCCTTCTTTTTAGAGGTTATTTCAAAAAAATTTTTTTGTAATAAAAAATAATGCGATCGTTCCAATTTTTACATATGTTTTTAAAGGCATCATAAACTATTTGAAAATATTTTGTTTCATTTATTCTTGTGTAGTTTAATACACTTTATAGCATGCCAAAGTATGCATATAAAAAAAAAAGGTAGGTCCCTGGCGCAGGTGATTTCGACTGCTAGAGTCATCCGAAACAAAAAATTAGAATAGATTGTTGTTTTGTAAGCTTATGGCTCTGTCCCGTACTAGAATGAAATATTTTCATCAATAAACAACAAAATGGCGAACTCACAAAAAAAAAAATTTTTTAACATGTAAAAAATTTATCTTAAATTAATGATAAAAAAAAAACTAATCATTAAAAATAAATGATTCTAGTACGGGACAGAGGTGTTACTTTTTAGAACAACATATCCAAATTTCAGCTAGATCGGTACCATAGAATTTTGTGAATCACCTGCGCCGCACACAAAAATGTAGTTCCGAGAAAAACGCGTTTAAAGTTTAGACGCTACCGAGAAACTCATACTTTTCGGTGTAGGCGCGCTCTCGATTATGGGCTGTATCTCTGTCATTATTTGATATTTTTATTTGAAACTTTAACAGTACACTCTTAATAAACAATTCTATCGAAATATGTGAAAAAAAAAAAAATCAATTTTTGCAACCTCACACATGAGACTACATCCTTAAACGCATTGATGACAAACCAGTTTATCTCGACAATGCTGCTGGATAATTCTATTGTTTTTATTTGGTATAGCACTTAGAATTAAAATAAATGATGTTCTCCCAGAAAACCATGTAGTTTTTTTTTGACAAAAAATTATTGAAAAAAAAAAAAAAAAAAAAAAAAAAGAAACGCTAGCTTCGTGCGGAGCCGAAGTTGAAATACCCTTGCAGTTAAGATCGGATATATATCGCAAATATCACATATGGTCGGGCAATCCTAATAAGTATTTCATAAGAAAAACAAGAAAGGAAAGCTAACTTCGGGCGGAGCCGAAGTTTATATACCCTTGCAGTTAAAACCGGATATATATCGCAAACATCGGATATAGTTGGCCGATCCTTATGAGAATATGATAATATTACCCAATTTATTATAATACAAAAACCAAACCTAAAAATGTCCCAAACTTCTATCTTCAAAAACACAAAAGTTGTGTCATTTCCGATCGTTCAGTTATATGGCAGCTATAGGATATAGTCGGCCGATCCTAATGAAATTTGGTAGGTTGGATCATCTGGCCAAAAATATAATCTGTATTAAGTTTCAGCTTCCTATCTTCAAAAACACGAAAGTTGGGTCATTTCCGATCGTTCAGTTATATGGCAGCTATAAGATATAGTCGGCCGATCCTTATGAAATTTGGCATGTCGTAATGTTTTGCCAAAAATAGCTCTCTTGTCAAATTTGAACTCTCTAACTCTAAAAACACCAAAGTTATACCATTTCCGATCAATCAGTTATATGGCAGCTATATGATATAGTCGGCCGATCTGGGCCGTTCCGACTTATATACTGCGTGCAAAGGAAAGAAGGGTGTGTGCAAAGTTTCAAGACGATAGCTTCAAAACTGAGAGACTAGTTCGCGTAGAAACGGACAGACAGACAGACGGACAGACGGACATGCTCAGGAGGTGATCCTGATCAAGAATATATATACTTTATAGGGTCGGAGATGTCTCCTTCACTGCGTTGCACACTTTTGGACAAAATTATAATACCCTCTGCAAGGGTATAACAAGAAAAGGAAGCTAACTTTAAGCCGAAGTTCATATACCCTCGCAGGTTAAACCGAATATACATTAAAAACATCGAATATAGTTGGTTGACCCTTATGAGAATACATAATATAACTCAACTGTCTAAATATATATATAAATATATAAATATGTACGAAGTTCCAACTTTCTGTTTTCAAAATGCAAAGACAGTTGGGTACTTTCCGATCGTTCAGTTATATGGCAGCTATTAGATATAGTCGATCCTTATGAAATTTGGTAGGTCGGATCAACCAAAAATCTAATCTGTACTAAGTTCCAGCTTTCTATCTTCAAAAACACGAAAGTTGGGTCATTTCCGATCGTTCAGTACTCACAAACTCTAAAAACACCATAGTTATAGCGTTTCCGATCAAAGGGTGAAGGATGAATAAATAGGCGGTCAGTCAGACTGATACGCCCATATCAACTCAGGAGGTGATCATGATCAGGGTGAGGAGGTGACCCTGATATATGTACATATACACTGCGTTTCACATGAATAGCACACTTGACATAGGGAATTTCAAATATCGATATCTTTTAAACAAAAAGAAAAATCGTTAATGTTTTTGTTTCTATTTATAGAGTAATCAATTTTAATTATAAGAAAAGTAACCAAACTTAAATTAAATTAACAATTAATAAAGATTAACAAAAAAACTTAAAAACTTCAAAAATTCCACAACAATTTTGTTTCACATGAATAGCACATTTTTTTTTAAAAGTATATTTAATGAACTTAAGTATTAGGAAATGTGTTTTTTTGCAATAGTAAGTGTTAATGTAAGTATATATGTTAATTTAATAAGGGGTCGAGCCCCCCTTATTCAATATAACCTCTTAGATCCTGTTGGGCAGCGAATCATATAGACTTTTAATGTAGTCTAGGGATATTGTAGCCCAGGCCCTCTGAATGGCGTCAATTAGTTCGTCTTTTGTTGAAAATTGTTTGCCAGACTCATAAACCTTTCTGACCAGCCATCCCCAAAAATTTTCAATTATATTCAGATCCGGCGAGTATGGTGGCCAGTTCAGAGTTTCAATATTTTTATCTTTTAAAAAAGATTTTACAATACGTGCAGTATGTATTGGGGCATTATCGTGCTGGAATGTCCAAGGCAAATGATTGAAAAAATTTTCCAATGGTGGAAAGCTTTTTCGAGGAAGTTTAGATACGCTTTTGCGTTCATGTTTGAGGATAAGAATTAGAGTTCACAAGTCCCATAGTAAGATATGGCTCCCCCAAGATATTGCATATTCTTTTAGTATATTCTATTGGGAATACTCTCACAAAAATTCATAACGATCGGAGCATTAAAACCGAAGCTGTAGCTATTTATAGCGCACTATCTGCATATAAAACTTGAACAAACTTGAAACTTTAAACGCGATTATCTCAGAATCTTTTTTTTTGGGAAATTACCTTTGCGGTGGATACGATTACTAAAAAACTACTAATCCGATCAACACCAAATTTTGACCACATATTTATTATGATATTATCTAGTCCGTGAACGAGGGATTTTCCATTTTTTTGAAAACTCCCTTTTGTTTTTTTGTTTAAAACGTCGCCATTTTTTTGTTAATCAAAATTTTAAAAAATCCCTCGTTCACGGACTAGATAATACAATATACTAACTAAACTTTTTTGAATTTTGGATTTCGGAGGAACCGTTTTCGAGAAATCCTGTCCACCGCAAGACACCATCGAAAAAAGACGATTCGGGAATTCGGCTATAACATTTTTGTTATGTAATATTTTTTTTTGAAAAAATTTAATTAGGTACCCAGAAACATGTACTAAACAACGTCGGTAAAACATTTTTCATAAATATTTTGTATCGTGTCAAAAAAAAATCGATAAAATTCCATATTCTTGCGCGGTACAACTGTATATAACCCCTTAAGAATCGGGTCTGAACAAAACACTTTAAAGGGTTTTTGCTCTAAAAGTGTTCTGCTCATAGCTAAACACTATAATTTTGTTTACTATTCGATTTGGTCTGTCATAGACACGGTCTTATTCGGTTTTTTTTTGTTAAAAGTGTCTCTTTAAAGTTTAAACCAGTGGGGGGCAAAACGAACACATGTTTAAAATTTGAGTGTACGTGTAGCATTTTTTTTCAAACGCCCATAAAATTGGTTTATTTTCACCAAAATTGATTGTCGTTAGGTATAAGCCATAGGAAATTTCATAAATTTTAATAATTTATATACATTTCTAATTTCAGTTCACTACCAGAGGCCCGACACTTGACAAAGCGGAAAAAACGAGGTCGACGAAATCCGCCATTTTGAAGGCGCCATTTTGAATTTCTTAAATATCGAATACTTTTTTTTATCGTATATAAACAACGAATCAAAGCTCAAGTTCGTATGTCTTTTCATTTTCCCGCAATCCATTCTCAAATTTTGCTTCATTTTCGGCCAAATCCAGGGGAAGGTCCCCTTAAAAAAATTAACAATCGCGCTTCCCTATCTATGTTTTCTATGGAGAAAAGTTTTTCCAACCCAATTTGTGAGACAATTTTTCATAGTGGAAACATTTTAATTTTTGGTCTGTCAAATGATTCAAAATGAGAGCAAACAAAAAAGGAAAGCTAACTTCGGGCGGAGCCGAAGTTGATATACCCTTGTAGTTAAAACCGGATATATATCGCAAACATCGGATATAGTTGGCCGATCCCTATAAGAATATCACAATAAAACTAATTAATTACAATAAAAAATATTAAAAAAAAAAAACACAAAATTTCTAACTTTTAAAATACTAAAGTTGGTATGGCAGCTACAATATATAGTCGACCGATCATTATGAAATTTGGTAGGTCGGGTAAACTGACCAAAAATCTGTACTAAGTTCCAGCTTTCTATCTTCAAAAACACGAAAGTTGGGTCATTTCCGATCGTTCAGTTATATGGCAGCTATAGGATATAGTCGGCCGATCCTTATGAAATTGGTCGTATTCACGTCGTATTATTCAACTTAGAAGGTGATCCTGATCAAGAATATATATACTTTATAGGGTCGGAGATGTCTCCTTCACTGCGTTGCACACATTTGGACAAAATTATAATACCCTCTGCAAGGGTATGAGGGCTTCTAAAAAAAATTTAAAATTGCTTTCAGTGTCAGTGTGCCGGCAGCGATGCGAAATAAGAGTTTGCCCCCCAGTGCTTTAAACAGAGTGTGTATGTACATAAGTATGGCACAAATAGACAGAATAGAAATAGAAAAGAATAGAAAAGTTATTTGAAAACTCTGATTTTTACAACAAATTGGGTTGCAACCAACTCTATTTATACATACTTTGCAAATCCAATAAAATCCTCATGATTAGTATTCATGTAAGCCAACTCAAAATCTATCAGCAAAAGAATTTGTTCTTTGCAACTGTGTTCCCTTTGGCGCACATGAGTCGTAATTATTCTTTCTGTTTCTTCACGCAAACGGGGATATCGGCTCATCTGTTTTATTAAACAAGAATAAATAAAATTTATCGGAAACTTTTTATATAAATTTATATCTTACCTTAGCCGTGCACATACGAACAACAACAGAAAGTTCTTGAACGACTAGGTCAACGCATTTGATAACTGGTTCCTTCAATAGAGCTATCTGTCGTTTAACAATTGCTTCAAAAGCCATATCAGGTGTAAAAAGACCGACACGAATACCATGAATATTGCGAATTGCAAAAGAGATCTCTCTACGCAATTCTTTCTCATCGCACGCCATTTTTACTATTTCAAAGCGGAGACTGAAAATGTTAATCAAAATGTATTTTAGTTATTATTACTTAACAAAACTTACCGTTCATGAAAGATCCGATTAATCTTGGCACCACCTGACAGCTCATTGGTATTGACTAATGCAGAACCGCTTCCTTCAATAGTTCTTTCAAAGTCCGACTGCAACTGCTGAATCATTCTACAAAATTACAATTTGAATAACAGGTGATTATGCAATATAGCATTAAAAGGCCCCACCGGATTTTATTTTTAACTTAAATAGTTTTTGAGTATTATATAATTTAAAATATCGTAGTATATTGTCGCGTTATTTTAGTTCCGATATAAGCCAAATTAATAATTTAGACAAATATTTATTTAGAAACGGCAATAAACCATTAAAAAAGCTGAATTCATGGTCAGAGTCGAAATTGAATTTAAATAAATTCTATTGAAAGGATTTATTAAGATTTATTCATAATAAGGCTCCAATCTACACAGAAAAATGCAACATTTTTGACATTTCTGAAGGTTTATGACAGATGAACATGACAGGCAAATGACGGATATTTTTACAAAATACCAATGTTTTACAAAATAGCAAAGCTGGTATTTTTATAAATAATAATAAAATACCAAATACTATCGTTGTCGATCGTTAAGTACTATAGCAGCTATAGGATATAGTCGGACGCTCCTCATGAAATTTTGTACATCGTATTATTTTCCTAAAAATATAATCCACAGAAAATTCCAACTCTTTAACTCTATTTCAAATAGGAGTTGGATAAAAAGCCGTGTTTTTATTTCAATCGAACGAGCTATCATTTTTGACAATACGAAAGTGAAAAAACACGAGAACGATACTAATTTAATTGTGAAAGTTACAAAATATAAGCAGTTATTTATTATACCCTTGCAGAGGGTACTATAATTTTGTCCAAAAGTGTGCAACGCAGTGAAGGAGACATCTCCGACCCTATAAAGTATATATATTTTTTATCAGGATCACCTCCTGAGTTGATATGAGCATGTCCGTCTGTCCGTCTGTCTGTCCGTTTCTACGCGAACTAGTCTCTCAGTTGTAAAGCTATCGTCTTGAAACTTTGCACACACCATTCTTTCCTTTGCACGCAGTATATAAGTCGGAACGGCTCGGATCGGCTGCCTATATCCTATAGCTCCCATATAACTGATTGATCGGAAATGTTTTTAGAGTTAGAGAGTTTAAATTTGACACGAGAGCTATTTTTAGACGAAAAATTACGAAATGCCAAATTTCATAAGGATCGGTCGACTATATGCTATAGCTGCCATATAACTGAACGATCGAAAATGACCCAACTTTCGTGTTTTTGAAGATAGAAAGCCGAAACTTGGTACAGATTCTAGTTTTGCTCATTTGATCCAACCTACCAAATTTCATTAGGACTATATCCTATAGCTGCCATATAACTGATTGATCGGAAATGCTTTAACTTCGGTGTTTTTAGAGTGAGAGAGTTCAAACTTTACACCAGAGCTATTTTTACACGAGAGGGCAAAATAATGCGACATGCCAAATTGCATAAGGATCAGCCGACTATAACCTATAGCTGCCATATAACTGAACGATCGGAAATGGTTTTTGGTAGAAATACCAACTTTGGTATTTTTGAAGAAAGATGTTTTGGACTTTTCTTAGATTTTGTATTATAATAAATTGGGTTATATTATTATATTCTTATTAGGATCGGTCAACTATATTCGATGTTTGCGATATATAGCCGGTCTTAACTGCTAGGGTACATACTAGAGGTCTGCATGAATACAGTCAAAGCAGCATTTGGCACTCTCAATCAAAGTTCTGACTGACTGAGTGAGACATTGAGTAAAACGGATTTGGCAAATGTGGTAAAGGCATGAGTAAAAGATTTACTCTATCCGAACGGCGACGCAATAACCAAATGAGTTTTGTAACCGAGTACTCGGTTAGTTGTGCGTCGCATTTGTGACGTCAAATTTATTTTTTGTTTTTGTTTTTGTGTTGCTTTTCAATACAAGAAATAGAAAAATAGAAAGGCATGGATTAATTATTATATATACATATGTACATATGTCATTTATTTAATTTTTCATAACAGAATGCAAAAACATAATTTTTTTTATTGTATCTGCATTTTTAGCAATAATACATCGCTTTTCAGAAATTAAATTTCTAGCATCTGAAAAGGCTCTTTGCAGGTAGCTGCTTGCTACCTGCTTGCCGAGCTGCTTGCAGGTATTGTGCAAATAGTTTTAGCTTCTGCTCTAACTGCCATGAATGACGAGAATGCCAAAATTTTATCCGAGTACTCAAAGCATTTACTCTGCATACACTCATTCTATCCATTCCACATTGGTTTGATATTCACTCATTTCGCATACAACGAAAACAACCCTTACCAATCCGCAATTCACTTTGTTGAAACGGTTTGGCACGCTCAATTGAGACAAACTTATTGTACTCAAATAACCGAAAATTTTGAGTGCAATCATGCAGACCTCTAGTACATACATATATTAACTTCGGCTCCGCCCAAAGTTAGCTTTCCTTTCCGGTTTTTCTATTATATTTATTAAAAGTTCAGCATATATATAAAGAGTAAGGGTTTTGGGTATTTATTGAACTCCGTCGTTCGCTTAGAATAAATTTTAAAGCTGAAAATGCTCTCTCAACAGATACTTGAGTAGCCGGGATGGCCAAGACTAGATGTGCAAGCGCACTCAGTTTGGCCATTTTAGCCATACATTTTTATAATAATGTAGTATATCGTCGTTTTAATTTTTTTTATTTCCCGTCCCATTTTCGTTTTAATTATTTTCTCAATATCCAATGTCACAAAGGCAAATGAAACAAGATCCACTAACTTTGACATACACACCTACATACAAAAAAGACTTTTTGAATCGTCGCACAAAGTCGAATGGTCCTGGAAAGAACAGAGCAATTGGGAACAGAAAATTGAGCGTCATTTGAGCAAGAGAAAAATTTTCATACGAACAACGCAAACGGTTGCTCTCAGACTTTTTAATCAAACACTCATTGAACAACACCTATTTTGAGACCCCAACAATCGGTTAACAGTTATTTGCGAGCTATGGTTAATAATATCTGTGGGACCGAAAAGTTTGGAATAAAAAAATAATAAATGTTCTCGCCAGATAGAAATAAAAATTTTAACATTTTGTGTCCCTATACTGAAAGCATTGAAAAACTCGTTAAACAGGTATCGGCATGCTCTGAAAATGATAAAAATACCGTATCGAACTAATAAACCTTCTGTTAAAATGAGACTACGAATATTTTAAATATAATTCTTATACAAAATAAGAATTGGTCGACACCCCTACATATGACACCTCTGAACCAGGAGTGTACCTGAGTAACAAACGTAAGAGTATATTGGTGAGAACAATGCGACGAACCAGAATGTATTCTGTGTGAAAAGTTTTAAGTCACTAGCAGGCGCGGGTCAAGGAAGATCCCTAGCTTATTTTAGTAGTCGGTATTGTAAGCTAGCATTGATAGCTTTCAAACTTTACATCTCCAATTAAATATATTTATTATATACTAATTTTTTTATTTGCCACTTCAAAAATGTTTTAAGGTTTTTTTCCATGAATCTACTAAGTTAACTGTTTCCGTTTCAAACAACCTTTCTATTTTAGTTTCAATTATAGGATGTATAGAAAGTCGACTATATATCCCCAATATCCAGCGCTGGAACCCTCTAGAAGGAGAGGAGCCCGATGTAAAAATCTCTATGAGTGCGGCAAATTGACAGACCGCATAGTGGAACCCGTTGTAAAAATGAAAACATTTGAGACCTGGTTCCACGATAAACGGCTGGAAGATGAGAAATTTTTTTAGAACGTAACATCTTTAAAACGATAAAAGTTTGAAACGCTCAAATCGAGTGTGAGAGCAAAGAGATCAGAAGGATCTTCTGTTATCTTTTGAGTGAGGTTGTTTCAATTTTTAAAAAGTAAATTTTAATTTTATGATTATTTTTATATTTACTTTTATTACTATTTACATATTATTGTTAATTTCTATTATTTTGGTCATTGAGATTTTTCAATGCCGTAAATAGAAAAGGTATTTGTATTTAATTTTGAAACGTTATAAATATGTTTATTTCTGCATGCAGATGAAGCCGGATGATCCGCAGATAGACCAGCTTATGGTGCATGTAGCGACTCAAGTAATTTTACAGAGAGGGCGGCCCGACTAGTCATACGCGAAGCTAAAGCTCCCAATAATGGAGAGAGCTGCCCGACCTAGTCATGTTTACATGTGACATGTAGACATGTTTACGTAAAGAGTTCTGTGAATAGAATCGTATGCATGTGCGTTCCCCTCTCACCAACAAGCTCGACAAAAGATTGTATCTTTGTATTGTATAATCTTTGGTGACACATTGGCGTAAGCATTTCTGTAAAACCACTGAGATCCAAGAAAGATTACCAGTCGCTGAAAACTATGAATGAAACTACTAAGTAAAACTACAACAAAAGTCGTTGGGAGACAGGTCTGTTGCGGAAATATAAGAATGTGGAATTGACTCATTCTAATTCCATGGCACTCAAGTGTCGTGAGTCAAAGACCCAGAGCTAACCAATTTGGTGATCGACACCATGTGAAATACGCCAAAAATTATGTTCGAGAAAAAGAAACATCTGTTCTGGGATGCCGCACTACAGGTGAATAGAGTATCGGTTAATGATATCCTCATGATAAGACAAAGAACAGGAAACATCGCTTTAACAGGAGACATCGCTTTAACAGGAAACATGTCGAGAAATGTTTTACCAAATTAAATTTTATGCCTCCAAACCGTCCGTGCAGAAGTTCCTATGACAAAATTAAGAGATCGATCGTTCACCGGATTAATTTGTAATGCAAGTGACAACTTTTGACGCTGCTTGTCCCTGGCTGTCCTGGCCAATTTTCTAAAATCGAAAAATTCAGAGCGATTCGGATAAAACTATCCATATGCTATAGACGATTTTTCAAAATACTTTCGACGACGATTGCTTAGAGTCAGTGGATACGGAAAATGAAATGGTTCAACTCGCAGACAACGTCAAAATGATCCACCTGAAGGGCGGATTCGAAATGAGAATTCCAAGAGTGTTTTTCAATCTCTCAGTTTCCCAGAAGAGTCGCCTAAATAT